GCTCTGCCTCCTGCAACAGCAAGATGCTTTCAATCTAATGCGCTGTCCATGCTTTAGCATAAAATAATATTAAGGCATCCACATAATGGAACCATCTGAAGATCCATTTTATTAAGCACTCAAAGAAAATGTGTGTGTGTTTGCATGTGCAAGGGAGGCATAAACAGCAAAACTATTTCACCAGAAACCTCATTTCCGCGAGGGTTTCACGTAAAGACGCAGCTATTTTTGAGGTCTAGTTCTTTGGCTCTGAGCAAGAAAAAATACTCCATAGCCAATATCTTACCTGGTGCAATTAACTTGCTCAAATTACATACAGCTTATTCGAAGAAGGAAAAATAGGAAACAGAGGTAGGTTTATTGTACTTATTCCATTTTGAGGGTATTTATTTTAAATGCAATCTACCTTCAAGTACAGAGCTGTACTGCTCTTAAAAGATTACTGCTTCAAGTTACTCCACATACCTTAACATAGCATGGACCCTTTTTACATTATACGATCAACTTTTTGACAGTGCAGGGCTAGCACAGCTAATGGAATAATAGCCTGCAGGGTCCAGCTAAATGATATACGAATATAATCAACCTTTGTGATGACTATTCAAAAGTAATCCCTTTAGCTTTCAACTGCAACATATATTTCAACCAGGCAAAGCCATATGAAGAAAATCTCTGCAGACTCCACTGATACAATATGGCCTTCATATCCCCACAGTGTGTTTGCTGCTCACAGTGAGTTTTAAATTTAAGGTAATGGCTACTGTATATTCATGTGAGCATAGAACAATACCTTTGATTTGTTGGAGAAATGTTACATTAGCTACCAAGGGCCCTATTCAGTAAACTTTGACACAACCCTTATATATGGTTTACTGCTTATTCTAAATGGAATATGCCTGATAGAAATGCTTTGCATGCCCAAATTGTACAAATTCATTAATCTTCATATTAATAAAATCTCCAAGTACAACTGCCTCCATTCCAAGTGAATCAAGTCAGGATACATGGTTAAACAGGTAGGCCCAACATGCTTTTAAAAGGCATTGCATCAATTTTCATTTACTAAGACAGAAAAATACATAGGAAGATCATCTACAAGTATGGGATGAGCATGTTGTTGGCAGTCATATTATTTTCTGCTCTATCTCTATTCCTACACCATTACATCATTCTTCAGATTATATAACTCAAAGCAGCTGCATGACCTTTACAAATGCTAGTAAATTTTAAAATACAATAATGGGTTATATCTCATCAGCTGTGTTACACCAACATTGGAATACATCAAGACAGTCTTGCTTTCTCTCCTTTAATTGACAAAAAAATGCAGTATTGGCTAGTGGTGGATCTAAATACATGGAAGTAATTCTGCTAAAGGAAAATAGATGTAATGAAAATGCTGTGTTGCCTTATATTGCTACTTCTGTATGTACACTATAGTCAGAGTTAAGTCTCATTAGCAGGAGCTGCAAACAGAGTCTTGTACACACACCTGAATCCATGTGAGAGCATAACAGCATGTTACCATAACTTGTGTGAGGTGATGTGTTGGAGTATTCTGCTTAAGCAGGTGAGCTATGGTAGAGGAATAGGAGTGGCTATGGGCTTTCCCTCTATTTGTTTGCCATCGTACTTCTTGAGCCCACGGAAAACTACTGCATCCTCAGCATCCTGCAGCAGGGAGTTCCAGTGAGGAGGTGCACAAAGAAGCCCCTGCTTTGAATCCAAGTCCACCACCTCCCACTTTCAGTAGACCCTACTTCATTTTTAATTTGGAAAACACAGTGAAAAATGGTTTCTGGGTCATCATCTCATGCGTGCCACACTCATTCTTACTTTTGTCATTCTCCTGAAAAAAATGTTCTTTTTTTTTTAAAAAGACTAGTTTCATCTGCCTGAAACAACAGTCCTCTTATGACATCATCACTTCATGGAACTTTCAGTGGAATTCTTGTTAATAAAGTCCAACAGTCTTTGAATAATGCAAACCTTGGATTTGAATGCTTTCCCATCACATGGGCATGCAATCTCAGGTGTCATCTGCTTAGTTTTCTTTATAATCTTTTGAAAGAATGGTGCCTAAAATTCCTGTCCTCTCTGGAGTTAGTTGTAGCTTCAGTCTTTGTGGGTGTGGCCTTCTTTCTTTTTTATGGCTTTTCACTAATCATATAATGTAAAGGACTTGCAGCCCTGCATTGTTTACTTCCAGAAACATCATGAAATAATGAGATTTTTAGAAGTGTAGTATTCTGTAGATAGACACATGGAAACAGAAGGAAGAGATGCCAATTCTAGCTGCACTGAAAATCCAACCAGACTATTTTAATTATATTTTATCAACAGCAGTGATAATCTGTCAGGGACATCCTATTATGATTAATTATATTTACATTCTATTAATGTTATCGCCACATTTTGCACAATAAGATGGAAGGAGAATGCTTGATGGTGTGATCTGTGGTGGTATGTATGTATTATCATTATGAATATGAGATGCTTTTATTGTTTCCAAATAGCATAGGCCAAACAAATGCCAAGAAAACATTTATGGCTCAGTAGTCCATCAGTTATCCTTGATATGCTTAATATGTGCTGGGAGGGCAGAACTGTTAATCAGCCAATAATAGCTTGGTGTCCAAGTGTGAAGGCAAAAGGCCGAAAGGTGCCCAAGAAAAGCAATTTCTGCTGTAACTCCCCATCTGTCATGTCATGCACATCCCTACCGTCTCTTGCATGTGTCAGTGTCTGTAGCTATCAGAGAAACAATTTTCTGTGTGTTTGCCTGAAAATACCCACCTTTCTGTACCCAGACACATTTTGGGCTTGAGTCACCCACTATGAGCCACTGTTCCACCAAAGTACATCTACTGGAAAGATCAGTAACACTGCACTGGTGTGAAGCTGGAGTGGGACAGTGCAGTTCTGATCCCTGTGAGCACTTCTGTGCTGCTTCCCACTGGCTGAGTTCCTAAACCAAACTGAGCTGTGCAGGTTTTATTACCTTTTTTTTCATTTAAGACTTGGTCTGCTAGAAAAGGAATTCCCTCTTTAGGCCTGGTTTCAGGTCATGTCACCTGGAATAACTACATTGTTAAGTACTGAGTAAACCACTAACACACACACTGCCCTCATACAAAATGAAACTCCACATGGGAATGCTGATTCTCAGATATTCTTCATAGATTTACTTATCCTGTTCTTACTTGCATACAACTATGGATAAAGTCCTTGTTAGCAACTATACTTAATAAAAACTCATGAAATGACAAAACATAAATTTTATTGAGTCATCAGTGGCCCAGTAGTTTTAATCTGTCCCAGACATTGCACCAGCAGGGACACTGCTTTGGACATTATTTTTCACCCCCACCAGAACTGGATGATTTATTTTGGTCATGAGTTAAATTACGACGCCATACAAACAAAGAGGTAGTGACAAACTGAGGACGATCCAGTTAAGAAAACATGAGTTCCTTTCTCTTGGATATATTATATGGATACTATATGGATATATTCTTGGATATATATGTAATATGGAAATATTGAAGAGAATATGTTTGCTTAGCCTCCAAAAGGGAAGATTAGAGAAAAGAAAATAGTCTCTCAAGCTATAAGGAGTTATTGTGAAAGAAGACCGTGTTCCATTGCTCTTCATGTCTGCAAGAGGTAGAGAAAAATCAAGAGAAATCTTTCAAAAGAAAGAGAAAAATCTGTTTAAATTGCAATAAATATTTATCTTAAGTATTAGGGAAGAAACTGAGCAATAAGGCTATGAAGCACTGAAACAGAGAGGTTAGGGATGTTGTGAAATAGCCTTCCTCAGAAGCCTTGGAGAATAGATGTCAGGGGTGGACTAGATATATATGTGTGCTTTCCTCATTTGAGGAGGTGAAGCAGATCAGTAGCTCCCAAAATAAGGAGCAATGCCCCAAGGGTGGTGTGGGTGGAATGAGGCAGAGGGAGGTGTGTTGCTGGAGGGTCCCTGGGAATGGAGCAGAAAGTGCAGCCAGGAGGTGGAAGTTTGGAGTGGAAACTGAGTGAGGAAGGAATGAGACAGCATCACTGGAGCAAATGAACTCTGGCTGTCAAGAACTGCAGAGTCAAGCCAGAGCCTCCCAGCCACCTGTTCCCTGGATCACATCCCATGAGGAGAACCCCACTGAGAGATGGCAGCCTTCTCTTGCTTCCTGCACTGCTCAATTCCTCCCCTGCATGGTGTTCCTCCTGCCTGCCATTTTTCAGTGCTGCCTTGGCTATCATCTTCTCCCAAATGCATCTCCTTTGTTGGCTCCCCAGCTGGTCCCACCCAGACCTGTCCTGCTGTACAGCTGCTGCACAGGAGTGCAAGAAATGAGAGCAGAAACCCCTGACAGTTCTGTATTTCTAGGATTATATCTTACTTGACTCACCTCTGTGTTTTTTAGATTTCCTTCTCTTGTGGTTTTTTACCATAGGTCAGGTTTTTCAATTAAATCATTTAGGACTTCTAACCATTAAAAGTGTTGAAAGTCTAAAACACTAAAGCACTTTTTTTTTTTTTTTTAAATAACAGACCCTCATAAGGAAACAAGTGCCTCAAAACCTCTGTGAGCCTCTGTCTAAGACTTTAGATCTTCCTGGTACAGTATTTGCTCTTAATCCACAGACTTTATACCAATCTGCTGATTTTTACTAAATGTTATTTCTATCAATGCTTAACCTGATTTTGACAGGCAATTACACATAATTTCAGTCTTAGTATGTCTAAATAATTATATTTTTCCTGTTCATAAATTAATGAATTCACACTTCCCTCAGTTTTTTTACACATATTCCCAGTTTTAGAATTTAATTACCTTTGATCGAGTAATTACTTTTAATTTACAGAAATAAGCCTTTGAGACAGAAACAAATCTGATTAATCAGATTCCAACCCCAAATATAAAACATGCAGATATCAATGTATATACATAAACTTCTGACATTTTAATATTTTTCTATTTGCTGGTTTTTTATTCTAGAGGATGCCTGCTTATTGACTCAGAAGCTGAAGTATGATGACTGCAGGAAGATCCTTGAAGAGCAGTGTAACAAAGTAGGAATTTCAGCTAGGGTCTTGCCATTAAAATGCTATTATCAAAAAAAAAAAAAAAGCATCTGTTATTGAAATAAATATTAAAAAAAGACAAAGAGTAGTAGAAGAAAGTTTTTACTTTGTGCCCCCATTGCTTAATGTCTTCCAAAGTGTCAAAATCCTCCTGTTAAGATATTAAACATGAATGGGAATCCAAGATGCTCAATGCCTTGTAAGATCAAGATCCAAATGGGTCTGGAAAGTTTTCTTTAAATCCCAGATTGTGATCCTTTTCAGAAAACTTATTCATAGAGCTAGCAGTGATTGTAGTTTGTGTATAATGGTTGGGGTTCAGCTGTAGCTGAAATAGAACTGATCCAGCCTGGTGGCACACTATGGTGCTATTTTGATCCAATCTTTAACACAGGTTGGACTCAAAGCACAACCAGATTTGTTTAAAATCCATTTGGATGCAACCAAACCAGATGCGGTCCCTCCCAGCCTGACCCATTCTGTGGCTCTGTGCTTCACAACATCAGGTAAACTAAAATTCTGCTTAGGTTCTTTCTGTTAAATAATCTGAAGCACAGATTTTTGACTCTGTAAAAAAATTGTGTCCATTTTGAGCTGATGAAAATCCTGACAGTGGGTTCCACACATGACCCACTGACATCTATGGTCTTCACAGTCCTCCAAGGACTCAGAGTCCTCAGAGCTTGCTACCATCGCTGTTGGCATTAAGTAGAGTTAGAGAACAAAAGATTGAAGTTATCACTTTGCAAAATACACATAAAAACGGGACTTGGAACCTTTGAATTTTATTTAGGAAAATTGGTGATTCATAATTTCACATATTAGAAAACAAACCCTTTCTTTTAAACTAAACAAACAAAGCTGTAGTACTCCCAGTAGCCAACCATTCCTTTCTTTAAATGGAGGTTTGCAGACTCAGAGTTTGTAGCGAGGTCCATTAGACCTGTAATCAGGTTTTATGATGGTGTTTGAGCAAGCATTAGCTTTTGCCATAGTAATAACTCAATTCACAGTTTTCTTCAGCATTGTAATCCAAGTATTTGGTTGACATGTGACAACAGGGTTTCTCCCTGTTAAAGAATAGTAAAAATGTATCATTAACCAGCTCTTATTAGACTATTTTTGATCCAAAATGCTGTATACATGCAATTTAAACACAAATAGGTCAATAATTTTATTCTGTTGTTTATAGGTCTTTATTGTCTGAACACCATGTTTATTATAACAATGTTAATTTAGAAGGCTTTTGCGAGGCTGAAAACTTGTACAGAAATATTCCCACGTGCAATTATGCACACATATAGGCAGCAAATCTCTTTGCTGAGTGCTAAAAGGAGGTAAACATTTTATGGAAACCAGAAAGAGAAACAGGACTCTGAATTAAATGTAAACAACATCTGTATTGTTTACCCCTTAAGTTTCCCCCTTATATTTTAATAATATTGATATGAAGTAAGAAAAACATTCTAAAACCAGCACAATTTTGCAAATAATATCTTAAAATCCTGTTAACCTACAAGCTCTTCTAATCTCTTTAAGTATAGCATGACTGCTAATTTTAGATATCTGGAATTTCTTTTATCAAAATATTGTTGAAAGAAATTACATAATTGAATTTGGCCTTCATAGTAAAAAAAAGTAAGTACATAAAATAACATAAACTACACCAGTGTCCTAGAAAAGACAATTATCAAATTATCAAGGGCAAGTTTCTAAATTCTTAATGGCTTTTAACCCCATGTACATTTCTGCAGGAATTGAATGTTCTGTTTATGTGTCTCAAAAGTTATCATGTAATTATGTTAAATAGCATCCATGATTTTCACTATTTTTTGCCAATCTGCACCCATTACTACATGATAACTCTGAGATGCTTGTGAAAAACTGTCATGAATTAATCCCCTAGCGCGTCAACTCTCCCATACTTTTTAACACTTTTTCACCATGCAGCTTTTAATAAAAATAAGGGGAAATTTATCATTCTACAGCAATGTGAGTTCTGTTCTTGAAAGTCAGGAAGCTTTGGGAGCAAATTATGTTTATTGTGCTAAATCTATCTGTCTCCCATGCCAGTAATTTGTCTGATGAGTAGCTCTCAGTCTGGCAGAATGCAGGTGTTGTTCAGCCCCTTTCAGACTTTTCATTGGGAAAACGAAGGTTCTTCCCCCTTCAAATTAATAGGGCCAGGAGGTCAGGCAGGATGTTGTTCTGTACGTCATTGTTTGGACAGGATCCGGGAATAAAGCTCTCAGCTGCTGGAAGCAGTCAGAGCTCCACGGGTCACGGCAGCCCCAGTGAACAGCTCACACAGCACAGCTAAAAGCACGGTGCTCGCTGTCCTCGGCTGAAGTATCGACCCAGTGCTGCTGCACTAGAAAAATCACCACTCTCTGAATTAGCAGTGCTCTCCCAGCATCACTTCCCTTTGCTGATCTCGGCAGACACAGTCCTGCTTGTAACATCTGCGGGGATCAGAGCTCACATTGGAGTAATGGAACTTCTGTCCTTTGTCTCGTTACATGAGAAGTGTTTTCATTCCTTTAAGGAGCTCCTCTTATAGAACACAGTTCTTCTCCACCCTGACTTCTTCTTTATCCTTGCAAGCCTTCCTCCAAGTTTTACCAGAAAGTGCCTGATCCCCTGACCCTTAATTTGCAATGAGGAAGGAGGACTTATGAGAGAGTATGGATTGCAGTTTACCACTTTCTCTGGGCTCTCAGAAATCACAGGCAGAGTTGACTTCAACAAAGTTAGGAAGGCAGGCAGATCAATTTAGCCTATAATGCCAGTCCATTTCAAACCAGGACTTGTCAAACATATTATAGCAGATGAATATCTGAATAGTTCTGAAGTGCAATGTCTCTAAAACCTACATTTTGTGGGTGCCTACGATGTTAGGCTGGCAATTAAGGTTGCTTTTTTGAATAGGGCTTTAGTAGGTTTTGCTGTGGATGCATCCCATGGTATTAACTAACAATTTTTGTAGCAGAGAGGAAGGTTGTATCCTTGATACTGCTTGAGAGAAAGGATTCTGTTTATAATTATTAAAAATACGATTTCTGACCATTAAAAGGGTGTATTTTGTTAATTATGATGATGTATAAGGTATTTCACCTGTGATGCCATTTAGAAAATTAATGTTTGAGTCACAGAAAGGTCGTTGCCATTCTGGAAGGAATACATTCATCTCTAAATAGGCCATACAAATATAGACTAAGAAATACTCTATACATAATTACCTGGAAATAGATGAAATAAATAAGATGGATGATAGGTATTACTAAAGCCACGTGTTAGTTTCCTGCTAGGAAAAAGTAAATTGTAACCGGAAGAAGCAATAATATACATGTAAAAATGCAAGAAATAGGTTAAAGTCTTGAGTAGTTCTGTGAGGTTCAGCTATTACTCATGAGGTGAGAACTCAGCCCTCAAAAGTGGTGTGCATCAAGGACTTTATCCTGAGATGCAGACAGGTATTTCAGAAGACAGCTCTACAAAGAACAGATTGAGGACTTTTTTATTTTTTTTTTAACAAACCTGTATCTTGTTTGAAAAGATAATTTCATAGTACCTCTATATTTGCCACACAAATGCTTACAAGTCAATAGAATGTGTGTGCTGTCTTTGAAGAGAAACATGTTGATTGGTATTTCCAGGTGTGAGTCCTCTTTTGACTCAGGCCTGAAGTCTCCAGGAGCTGAGGAGGATCCTGGGGGGTACAAGTCTCAAGTAGTCCCAGCAGCTGCTCGTTCTGCAGCTCTGTTCTGCAACTTGGTCTTCTGCAGCATGGGAGACATGGGACAGAAAACCAGTGCACAGCAGATTTTCAGTAGCATGTGGACGAGCCAGAGACTGGGAACTTGAGCATCCTAAAGGGAGTGTCTGGGAGTGGCAGTAGCTCCTGACTCCTACTCAGCTCCAAACCCAGCTAGGACTGAGATCTCCTACACCAGATGGGCAGATGAGAGGTAGCTTGTCTCTTGGGAGGTAGCTTTTGTAACGGGCACATCCAGCCCTTCATTTGGGACATACTTATCCATACACAGGGATACATCAGCTTTGAAAGGCTGCTGCCTCCTGCACTGAGCTGTTCTATCCCTGGCAGTATTGCTCCTGCTCTTCCTCAGCTATCAGAAAACATTGTCCCATCTGGCCAAAAGCTCACAGTTTACAATTGTACTGACTTAAATCTGGACTTAACCATAGCAATGCCTTTAAAAACATCTTCCAAGAGCTCTCCTTGAAGTCGGTGGTCACTGTTATTCTTTGCTGTTTGCTTTCTTAAGAGTTGTCTGCCTCCCAGGTCCTCAGTGTCATTTGGCTGAGGAAATTAGACACTCTCTTTCCCCACAAATACCAAGAAAAAGGTTTCCTTGGCATTGCTGGCAGCTTGCAGTACAGATTAAGCCAAAATTTATTTATGATAAGGGAAGTTCAGGATTGCCTGATATCCATCTCCTGGTTGCTTCTCCCTCACAGCAGCCCCTTTAACTTTAACATTCTGAACTGCAATGAGCTTTCACATGTGCTGAGCCTTGATAGTCTCAGAGGAGCCCTGTGATATTAGAATATTTTGATGAATTAGGGCTTTTCTTTTACTTCACCTCAACAAACACCTGTTCTTGGAGGGCAACATCACACACACATTCAGATTCTGCACTGCTTTTGGGAGAAACATGAGCACCTGCTCGAGACTGCACTTCCATACACCCACCAAACCACCTTGGAGCAGGTGATTTTTAATCAGTTTTCCTTGGTGGGGTCACTCATATAATTCATGTTCTAGGGTTTTTATCTCCTTCAAATTCAGGATAGTGGAATCTGCCTAGAAAATAACTTTCTGAAACTATCTGTGCCACAAAACTTCATAGTTTATACAAAGTAAATAAAAGAACAAGCTGTAAACGTGAGGAAAGTAAAAGATTAAAAAAACCTAAACTAATATATTTGCAAGAAGTACGCTTGCCTTAGTCACCCTCTCGGTTTCTCCTGGATCCCACATCCCACTGTAGGGAGCTGGGATATTTCCATCAGTGAGACAATGCACTTTCCCTTGAAAGCTGCTGGGTTTAATCTCACCATCAGATTCTGTGATGCACTCCTGCAGTCCCTATTGTACCTTTCTTAATATCAGACAAGAGTGAAATATCTTCAGGACTGTGAGACTGGAGTTAACTATTGTTTCGAAGGAAAAAGGTGCTGGAAATATTAGATGATCTTCATCAGCTGAAAGAGTCTGTGGAACCAAACCCAGACTCTTGAGCCTGTCGTGGTGTTGACTACATGAGCCAGGAAGAGGCATTTGCACCTCTAAAACAGAGTGAGTTTGGTCCAGTCTTAGGCATAGGTCAGAGCTGTGTTCAAGGAAGATAAGAGGAAGCTCTTCTACTTTTCCCTCTGATTTCTGAGCCTTTGAAGACCATTCCAGGTGTGTGCTAAAGCTCCTTCCTGTGACAGCTCCCCTGTAACAGAAGGACAGGTCAGCTCTTGACTTCTGAAGCAAAGGCTTCAATGTCTTCACAGATATTGCAAGCTGAAGTAAAAATCTGCATGTGGCAGCCCCAAATTATGGGTCACCATACCTTTGCTTCCTGGTCTCTGTACTGGGGCCTTTTGAATTTCTATCTGGAAATCATCTTCAACACCCTTGAAACGCAAGTGTTTGTAACAGCGCTGTGAGCTGAAAAGGTTTATTTCATAGTTTGATGTGGTCCTGCCATCTTTAGCTGTTTTTTTGCCTCCCTGCATGATGATCACTCGTCTAGGGTAAGTACTTTCCAAGTTTTGTCTGGTTTGCCATGGCCAGTCCTTGGTTAGAAGCTTGACCCTCTTTTCTCACCATTTGCCACATACAGCATTGCATCATTAAAAAAAATTTTTCAGGTAGATGGATATTCATAGCAGAACTAAGTCAGAATCTCATCCCCCAGTTTAAAGGCTTTGTGTTGACACACAAATACAAATTACAGTTAATCTGATGTTTTTGAGCCTACTGTATCCTTTCCCCATTTGCACTTTCTTCCCCCCTTTTCCTTAGATACATTTTTTTCCTTCACCTTCATTCAAAGTCTCCCCTCTGTCTCCACAATTCCAATGCTTCACAGCCTTCCTTCGTTTTATCCTTGCTGCTAAATGAAGATGTGACACAGATGAGAAGTAAAACTGAGGAGCTCTTTCAAATTAAACTTTGCTGCAAACATCTTACCTGTAAAGATGCCATTACAGCCCCAAGAGAAACAAAGGTACTTAAGCCTGGAATGTCACTGATCTCTGGACACCAGCCTGCTGCTAAATGCCTTCCAAACTTTGCCATTCCACAGCTTGATTGGACCTCCCACAACTTCCCCTTCAGATCTGGCTGTGGACTGTGCAGGTCTGTGTACCGGAACAACCCCAACTGGCAATGCTTTTACACAGGATTATCCACAACTGCTTCCCCATTAATTCCCTCTGTCTGGAAGCACCCTGATGTCTCCTTAATAGGGGTTAGCATTATTTATAGCAATTTACAGGTGTGCTGCTAAAAGATGGAACTGTAAATCAACTCAGATGTTGTTCCATGATGAAGTACCTCTACATTATTTAACAAATTGTCCCAACACGACTGAACAACACACAATGGAAGAACTTGCCATGGAAATGTAATATTGAAATGGACACATAAATACTGCATATTTAGTTAAGATTTGTAATTACAGTTTTTATTCTTCTGGCAATTTTGTACTCCAGGAAGATTTTCAGCTTCAGAAAAGCAGGGTACTTCTACCCAGGGGGTGTCAGCAGGGCAATACAATTACTTATATATGTGACGCTGTCATGCAGCTGGCTTTGCAGAGGTGTTTGGCACAAAAAATATCAGGTTGCACACGTGCACCTTAGTTACAGCTCACTGCCTAGGGTGTAAGGTAGCATGCAATGTTGTTTTACAGTGTATCAGAGTGATTCTGCCTCGGTAGAAAGAAGATTGAGGTGTGATGAAATGCCGGCCAAAAGTGCCTATAGGTACCTCAAAATAAAGAACTACACGTGTTCTGAGATGTTGGTTTATCGTATTTGCCCGTAATTTGAGCACAGTGCTTTCCCAGATCAAGGCAAGGCCTACAATTTTGAAGTGAGAGGAAAGGTGGAGCAACATCTTCTTCCTAGAAAGCCTGGACTGAAAATGAATCATATTCAGTGTTATATTTCTCCTGTAGTTTAAGGTGGTTTTCCTCTTTCAGATGTAAGGTACCATTATGTGAGAAAAGCTGATTTTTCTCTATTCAATCAGGGACAGTTCAAATATTGTCGTACCTAAAATGTGCACCTGGTTGAGATCTCACTGAGATCTGACACAAAACCCAAGGAAGCAGACCAGCCAGCTGCTGGTTTCCTCTGGGCAAGAAGACTTGGCTCACAAAAACACATAGGGGCAAAGAAGGGAAGTGCTCTGGAGGGGTGAAGGGACAGTTGGTGTCAGCACTGCCCAGGAATTCAGTTTGGAGGTGTATGAGTCAAAGAGTCTTTTCTAAAGTTGAGAAAAAAACAGCGCCAGCAATTCCCCTGGGAATTTCAAGGAGTAACTTTCATTTTTTTAATTTAATCTTTGCATTTTCCCAGTTAAATTTCTAACGCGTCAGGGCTCTCTTAATGTGAATCCCAAAACCTACTAAAACTGTTGCTGAGGATGTTTAAAATGTTTCTACAGGAAGGAGTTTTCCTACTTCCAGGTAGGTAACAGGGCAGTTTGTGTTCACATGTGTCCATGGACAGCGGGACACACGTAATAAATGCCAGCCTCAGCCATCAGAGCTGCATTTGGGCTGCTCCTGCACTGAGAGGATGAGGATTGTTGGAACAGAGGCTGTCTGGGAGGCAGGAAGGGGTGAAGGAGGTGCCCCAGGTGCTGAAATGTCCACACGAGCCGCATCTCTTCCTCAGGGGGCTTAGTCATGGATGGGACCTGACTTCCCTGTTCCACTTTCCCTTCCTGGGGGAGCCACACTCCACATGGCTGTCCCTGTTTGTGCCTCTGTTTGTACCTCCCCAGCCTCAAACCAGTTTGAAAAGAGTTTTAAACCCACTTCAGGCCAATGGTACAGATAGGGAAGGGGTTTAGCTGTGGATTTATCCCAACAGGTTTTGTGCAGCAGAGTGGACGACAGAGGTGACAGACCCCATGTGTGTCCCACACAAGGGAAAAGGCAGAAAATCACATGCACTGAAAGCCCCAGGCAAGAGGATTTATTAATGCTTCATCCTCTGATATCAGCTGGAGTTTGTGCCGTATTTTACACCAGAGAACCCAATATAAAGGCCCAAATTCAGGGAAGTCAGCTTTCACCTCCCCTCTGCAGTACATCTGAGGATGAGCTTTAAAAAAAAACTGCTGTGCTTCTGAGAGAAATGGATATTTCGTGGAGTATCTCATACTGCCTGGGAGTGAGATATTCAAGGGAGGTACAGGTTCAGTTTTTTGGGGGTGTTGTCAGATGGGGCAGTGTTGGTCCCAGGTCTAAGAGCCCTCTTAGGACTTGGGAAACTTCCTTCCGTTTCCTCATCCATCCTGAACTTCTCTGTTTTCCTCTGCTGTGAGGTTGGATAGCAGCACATCCCTACTTCCTGAGAATGTTGCAGGGATCATTATGCTGCTATCAAGGAGGGGCAGGAGCACTGAGTTGCCATCACGACTCTGAAAGAATTGTAAAACTCAAGAAAAATGCATCCTTATAAAACTAAAAAACAATCCATTGGAATGCAGCATTAAATACACCATCACTCACCCCCGGCCTGGTTTTTCCTTTTCCTGCATGAGCTCTTCCACACTTTGCCATGGCTCCTGCCATTGGAGCCTGTGCCATGTATAAAACAGGACTCCTGCAGCA